AATGCTTGATTCAGGGTACCGCCAGCCTCAGCCCGACAAGCAGACTCATTAAGAAACCTCCCCCAAAGCACCCCTGCAAGAACACCAAGACAATTTTGCTCTGTGCACAACTGCAGCTGCTTGAACCCCTTTCTTTCCAGCTGTGCTCAGAAATGGACTGGCACTGTAGGAAAAGAGGGAGCTTGTTCCCCATCTTTTGGTGAAGGTCATGGTCCCCTTTAGAAAGAGCACCATGCCGGGGAAGCTCTGAAGCAGGGCTGCCTGGCCAAGGCTGAGCCCTGAGAAGACACTAACCCTGCTGGGGGCCTCAGGCGAGTTTTTTAGACTCTGGTTCTTCTATCAGCTCTATGAAGATAAAATCACCTTCTTTCCTGGCAGGGTGGGGAAAAGTTAATTAGAGAGAGCTGCCTGCATCTTTGAAGGCACAAAGCGCCGGATGGGAAGGTGATGGGATTTCTCCAGCTCCCAGTGTGCCAGCTCTGCCTGGGCAGACTCATCCCTGTTGCCTACTGCTGTTCTTCCACATGGACAGGGATGACCCCATAGTGGCAGCCCCCCAGATGGGGTGTTGAGCAGAGGATGCTGCCCCAACACCACCTCTGTGCCCCTTGGCTGGCAGCATGGTGAGAGGACAGGTGCCCAGCACAACACCACCCAGCAAGCACCCCCGAGGTTGCCGTGACCCCAAGGGAGGGCTCTGCACCACTGGACACCAACTGCCCTTCTAATTATAGCTGTGGATGCAGGAAGCACCGCAGCTGCCTGTGCAGGAAACAGGGTGTGCCACCCTCAGTGACTGAAAAACAACCACGGCAGAGGTGTGCCACCACCAGCATGGCCCTGCTGAGAGGCAGAGCCCTGGCCCCAGGGCTGCCCTTAGGCTGTGGCACCCTGAGCTACGCTGGCATCATCCTTGGTGTACCCAACAGATCCAGGGCTGCTGGTGTGTGGACCTCCCACATTCTTCACACCGCCCTGGCATTGCCTGTGCCTCCAGCCCCAGCCCCTGGAGCCCTACCAGGGCACAATGTCTGCAGGATTGGGGCGCTGTTCCCCTTCAGAGAAGCAGGAGGGCAGCAGGAGTGACATGAGGCATCCATTAAAGGCTGTTAAGGGCCCTTCTCCCTGAGCAGGTGATGCTGTCTCCTGCCCTGCCAACTCATCTCGGGCTGTCCCCACTCCTGGTGACAGGCAGCCATCTGCGGTTGCTGGCCAGGGACGGGGGGCCGTGGCACCTCACCTGCCCCCTCTGATGGCCTGTGAGGCTCAGGAGCTGCTCATTCTTTCTGCTCCATGAAAAATCCTGACAGTTAAGTATTTCTTTTGTCCCGATTCAGAACAAAGAGTGAAAACTTTGACATTTAGCATAGTTATAGAGCCTCTGAAATAGTTTGTTTTGGAAAATACCGAAATGCTGGTTTGCAATGTTTCACTTTGACTGTTGCACTTCAGCTGCTGCACCATGACAAGCTCTCCTGCTACCTGAGAGGAGAAAACCTGATAAGTTTTCATACACTGACAAAATCAGTACATTCCCATGAATTATTTTGGTTTTGTCACATCAACTTTCCCCAGCACCTCTTCCCACCACCCTCCCCAATCAGAGACCCACAGCAGCTCCAATTCCAGCTGCTAGGTACAAAAGTCATCCCTGAAGTGGGGCTGCTCCCTGCAGGGTTTCACTCTCTTCCATCAGACAGGCCCCAGCATCTCCCCACACGGCTGCAGGGCATCCAGCATGGGCAGCCTGGTGATCCCCCTCCAACAGAGGTGGTGGGCAGCTGGCCACCTGTCTGCACCTCAGAGGGGCACCATGCACCCCAAAGCCTACAGGCTCCAGTGCAGACCGGAGTGGGCAGGGCAGGAGAGGGATGGAGTGGGCCAGGGAGTGGGGTCTGCCAAGGGCCAAGTGCAGCACTCACTGTGCTGCCAGTGCTGGGCTGCAGGGCAGAGATGGTATCTTACAGACTTTCCCACGCCTTGCTCAGGCTTTCTATGCGTGCACACCAGGCAGGTGATGCTCAGTCGCTGCTGGGATATTGCATAAATAGAGAGCAGGCTGCTGCACTCCCCCAGGCTACAGTGCCATGCAGATAAGCCCCCAGCGTGCATGTCCTACACATCACGGGTGCTGCCAGCATGTCCTGACCCTGCAAGGCTTGTGCTTCAGCTTCTCCTCCTGGCAGTGAAATACAGACATCCAACGCCACTGGAATAGCCCCACACTTGGAGCAGGTGCCCCAAACTTAACTGGGCTGCTCCCTGCTACCAGATTTCATCCAAAGGCTGTGGCACAACTCCTCAGCCCAGCACAGGGCTCAGAGTGGTCAGCATTTTGTTTAGGAATTGCTGTCACAGACCATCACGATTTGCAATATGCTCTTCAGTTGCTGAAGCATGTGGCAATCATCCACGTCCAGAACTGAAACAGTTACCACACAGCAGGAAAGAGACAAACCTGAAGATAACTAGGCCCATTAACAAAGCAAGAAAGGCTGCAGTGATCTGGTACACTGACTGGTGAGCAAGCACGGTGAGGAACTGAGCTGAAACAGATTCCATCCTCAAGCAGGGATGTAACCATAAGTCACCTTCCCTAAAGCTGCACTTCCAAGAGGCAGGTATGCTAAGGGTGCTGCTGCTCCCTAGTCACCACGTGGAGTCCCCAGTGGGTCTCTGAGGGGCTGATAAACAAACCTCCACCGCAGAAGGCAATGCAGAAGTGGTAGTGCTGCTGCCTTGGGGCTGGGGAGGCAGTGGGCAGGGCAAGGGGGTCAGCGCTCCTCCTCACTTTACGTGCCACTGGGGTTTGCAGCCAGGTATGCCCAAGGGCTGTTGCAGAGACATGGGGCTCACTAGCCTGTGCAAGCCATGCTGTGAAAATTTAAGGTTTTCATTCCTGAACATGGATCACTTCAATTGGGATGGCAGAGCCCAGTGTGACTCTGCAAACAGTTCTGTGGGCGTCATTATCAGAAGCGTCTGTGTAGCAGCACCAGCCCCCGGCTCTACTCTCCCTCAGGAAGCAGCACTGCAGGAAGGTGTGGGGGGCTCCTTGCCTGCTCCATCCCACCCAGAGCAAACACCTGCCTGCTGAGCCTCCAGCCTGAGGCCCAAAACAGGTTCCTCTGCCTACAGCTGGAGGCAGGCAGGGCTTTGGCAAGGCAACTCCCTCTTCCACGGGGAGACTGCCATGCCCACAGGTCTCAGAGGAGTGGCTGGGGTTGCTCTCAGCCTTGCAGCTCGCAGGCACTGCTCAGGCAGGTGGCAGCTGCTAAGAAGCATGGGGCAGACGTGGGTCTGAGGAGCTGTGGTTCAGCAGGACACCTCGAGGGGAGAAGGAACCACAGGAGTGCCACACCATGTGTAGGTGTCAGATGTCACCTTAAGCCATTGGATTTATGTGCACAGCAGCATCTTCTGTTTTCACCTTGCAAGACAAAGGAGACAAAGGAAAAGCACATTTGATGCTACTGGAGGTGAAATGAATCAGCTGTACAAACTGAATCCTTTCTCTCCCTGCCACGCAGCGGGATGGTCCCACAGGCTGGCAGGAGCTCTCTGCCACGGGCTGCAGCACAGCACATAGCCTCCCCTGCCCTCACACTGACAGCATCGTGGGGGTTCCCAGGGCCGTGCCTGGCACTCAGTCTGCATCAGGACCAAGAGCAGAGACTCCCCAGCTGGAGTGGGCTGCTGCCAGGCACTGTGAACAGGACAAACTGCAGCCCCTGGCTTGCCCTCTTGTGAGGTCCCAGTGGGACTTTGTCCAAGAGGGCTCGTTTCGGCATGGTGCCAAGCCCAAACGGGCATCCCAATGTGTGCTGGGCTTCATGCTGAGTGGCCCAGACAGTTTGCCCCAGCCAGTTTAGCCTGGCCATGCAACACTGTGGTTACTTGCAGTTCCCCAGTAATCTGCTAGATGGCATAATGTAATAATAATAATAATGATAATTATATACTGGTTTAATTGATCCAAACTCTAGAAATGATTTGTCAAATAATTAAAGCAGGTGTGTACATATTTTACTGCATGAGTACGTACTGCTCCCCTTTTGTCGAGTGCCGTTCTCTGCAACGCTGGAATTTCTTTTCTTTCTGGCAAGGATATGATACATGACATGAGAAGCTATAGTAATGACACAGAGACCAACTTTCTCATTAGTCTGCGACTGTACTCGAGCAATCCCAACAAGAAATTACAAGACAGCTTCTTGTTATTCGGTTGCTGCATATAAATAAAGAGCAAAGCATTACTCATACATAATAGCTCGTATTTGCTGCAGGCCCTTCGGTTCTCAGAGCCGGGCTAACCAAACCAAAGGGAAGATTATGTTGCAAGAGTGGGACTCCTCCATGGCACACCCTGGCCGGGCAGGGTGCTGGGGCTGGAACTCTCCTGGCCGTGGGGTCTCCCGCAGTAGGGTGTCCCGTAGTGGCCCCAGGATTTTTATCAGCTATGGGGGGTTTGGGCAGACGGCTCCCCCCTGGTGCGCTCTCCATCCCCCCCGCCCGCGCTGATAGAGGCTGCTGAGGCACCCACCCTCCGCGCGTGGGGATCGAGGCGGGCGGCGGGCGGGGGGGGACGGAGCGCACGTCGGTCCGCACTCTCCGCCGCTGCACCGGCCGGTGTCCCCACTGGGGGCCGCGCTCCGCGGGGACGCTCCGCGGCGGGCGGGGAGGAGACGGGATGGGGGGGCCGCCCGTCCGGGCTGGCACCGCCCCGTGCCCGCCCCTTGCCCGCCCCGCGGCGCGGCGGGGCCGGGGCTGGGGCTGGGGCCGGGGCCGGGGCACCGCGGCGGGCGGCGCAGAGCGGCGGCGGCGGGCGGGCGGCGAGCAGCGCGCCGCCGGCTCGGCGGGCCCGGGCAGCGGGCGCTCCGCCCTCGGTGCGCGGGGCCTCCCCTCTCCGCGCCCGCGGAGCGCCGGCGCCCGCCTATATCTACGGCCGCGGCCGCCCGGCGCCCGCAAGGATGTGAGGCGGGCGGGCAGCCCAGCCGCCGCCGCCGTGGCATGCCCCCCCGCGCCCGGAGCCGTCGGCGCGGCGCCTAGCCGCGGCTCCGCGGGGCCATGCTGCCCTGGAAGCGGAGCAAGGTGGAGCTGGCGGCGGGCGAGGCGCGGCGGCAGAGCAAGCCCAAGGGGTACGCGGTGAGCGTGCACTACTCGGCCCTCACCTCGCTGGCCCGCGCCTGCCCCGAGAGCGCCCTGCACCGCGTGGGCAGCATGTTCCGCTCCAAGCGGCGGAAATTCCGCGTCACCAGCGAAGACCCCACTTACACTGTGCTCTACCTGGGCAACGCTACCACCATCCAGTCCAAGGGCGAGGGCTGCACCGACCTGGCCGTCTGCAAGATCTGGAGCAAGAGCGAGGCGGGCCGGCAGGGCACCAAGATGAAGCTGACCATCAGCGCGCAGGGCATCCGCATGGCCCACGCCGAAGACAAGGGTCTGCGCCGGCCCGGCCACCTCTACCTGCTGCACCGGGTCACCTACTGCGTGGCCGATCCGCGCCTACCCCGTGTCTTCGCCTGGATCTACCGCCACGAGCTGAAGCACAAGGCAGTGATGCTGCGCTGCCACGCCGTGCTGGTCTCCAAGCCCGAGAAGGCGAAGGCCATGGCCCTGCTGCTCTATCAGACTTCGGCCACGGCACTGGCCGAGTTCCGCCGGCTGAAGAAGCGGGACGACGCGCGGCACCAGCAGCAGCAGCTGGTGGGTGAGCAGAGCATCCCGCTGGTACCGCTGCGCAAGCTGCTCAACGGGCAGTGCTGCTACAAGCCGCCGGTGGAGCGGAGCCGCAGCGCGCCCAAGCTGGGCTCCATCACGGAGGACCTGCTGGGCGAGGAGCAGGAGGAGCGGGCCATGCACTGCGAATGCGAGGACATCCTGGAGGCGCTAGGCGAGCCCGAGGGCGAGCTGCTGCGCCCCGGCGCCGGCCGCGGTGAGAGCCCAGAGCTGGGCCAGCTTCTTCGCGACCTGGGCGAGCTGAGCCTCGGCAACGACCTGCGCTCGCTGCGCGCCGACCTGCGCGTCCGCCGGTTGCTTTCCGGGGAAAGCACGGGCAGCGAGTCGTCTCTGGAGAGCGGCGGCACGGACGGGGCCGCCCCGCCCGGCAGCGACGCCGAGCAGCCGCCCCCCGGCGACCCCGAGACCGGCTGAGCGCTCGGGCCCTTTCGGGCGTGCGCGGCGCCGCCGGGGCGCACCGGATTCCCTCCGGGAATGCGCGGCCCCGCCGGGGCGCACCGAGTTCCTTCCGGCCCCTCCGGGAGCGCACGGTCCCTTCCGGGCGTGTACGGCCCCACCGGGGCGCACCAGACCCCTCCGGCTCCGCCGAGGTGGCTGCACGGCCACGCCGGGGCCCCTCGGGCGGTGCACGGTGCCGCCCCGGTTCCCCGCGGCGCCCTCGCGTCCCGCGGCATCCCGGGGAGCGGCCGCCCTTCCCGTGCCGGTGGCCGCCGGAGCCGGGCCCCAGCCCGCCGCGGCCCGAGGAGGGGAGGCGGCCGCGGGCTGTTTACCTCCGACTCAGCCCTTGAAGATCTGCCAAATTCCTGGAATAGCTTTCCCCGGGGAGGGCGGCGGGAGGGAGGTGTTGCGCCTTGTTTACAGACAGAAATCTCACATCCGAGGGCCCCCCCCCGCCGTTTTCTCCATTAAAGTCACTCCATTGTGCTGTCGTGTCCGAGAGGTTTGCACTGTTGTGAAGTTGGGGTTTTTTTATTATTATTTTTAAGTTAGACCTTTTTTTTGGGCCCTGGTCCTGTCCCCGATCTCAATGCTCTAGGTCTTTTGCTGTGCAAAAGAAGACTCTACTTGTGGCTGTTCACGTGTACATAGGGAAATGTATGCAAATACATTTTGTTATTTTTAAGAACACCACCATTGCGATCTCCTCTGTTTGCACATATGTGAAGAAAATAAAGATGACGGTAATTTAAAAGAAACTGGGGTTGCTGTGGCCGTTTGGCCTCTGTGTGTGTGCATGTTCCTGTAAAGAGATGGGGGGAGAAATCGCTTGGGATATGTTGTAGGTGCAGAGGGCATAAAAAGGCTGTTTCAAGCATCTAGCGTGATTAGGAGCTCGCTGGAAATGTTACACTACAGAGAAACACACCGGGTGCTTAATGATTCTTACAAGACACAGGGATGAGGTTTTCTCTTTGCAGCCTCTAAGGATGGGTAGGAGGCCTCATGTCAGAGTGCTCTGGCTGGATCTTAGTTTGGAGAAACCCAATTGCGGAGCTCTCAGCCTACCCTGGCACGAGCTGCCCCTTGCCTGGGCGCTGGGAATGCCACACAGCCCTGGCGAGGTCTGCACACAGGTGCTGCCACTGCAGCCAGTCCCTCGCCGCTCGAAGTGCCAGCCTGAGACAATTTCGTAACCTCACCCAGGGTAAGCAGCACAGTTGATTAGCCACGGGACTGCCGCGGTATTTTTAGCTGTAAATCTGTTTGTAAGTGGCAGGCTCCCAGGACAGTAGGGATGTTCCGGTTTCGTTTGTCCCCAAGTGGAGGTATCAATTAAGAGATAATTAATCTGGCATTTCTGATGTCTAAATGCTTTCCACTGTGCCTGGGCTGCAATTGGGCGAGTTGCAGGAATGTCATTGAAAAGCCCAACCAGCTGCCAGGGCCAGGCCACACTCCTTGTGCAAGGAGCCCGCCTCAGAACTTGTAAATACCCTATTAAAATCAATTGCAAAATCTGTCACCGCATGGGTGAGAAGCTTTTACTATTGCCTCAGTGTGTCACTCAGAGCAGGAAGGCATGCTGGGGTGGTTTTCATGGGAAGGGGTAATGAGGAGAGGGAAGATTCCCCTCAGAATGGACACCTTCTTGCCCGGGTCACACTCAGCCTTTGATGGGCAATGAGATGTAGTAGGTGACAGTGGCTGCTGCTGGATTTGAGCACGCTCAGGCCAGCACTGCTGACACACACCTTGCTAAAGAAATAGTGCATCTTGCTGCTTTTTCTCAAGCAAGGCTCCCTTTGCCTTTCTCGGGGAGGGAAGGGGCAGGTAATGAAGAAGAAATGAAACACCAGGTAGAGCTTATCCCACAGTGCTTTTCCCAGGATGGGGGCTGCCAGACTGCCTGGCTGGCGGTGGGGGACTTTCAGTGCCCTGAACTGAAGTGTGTGCCCCAGGTCTATGTCCAGAGTCCTCTGCTACTGCCTGCTCTTTCCTGGAGCAGAGGCAGCAGGTAGTGCTCGGAGCAGGGTAGAGATACAGCACCCGGAGAGCAGAGCAGGGTGTGCTCATGGATTCACGGGCTGGTCTGAGCTAACCCCAGTTGCTGAATGACTGGGTGGTGTTTGCTTTAGATCCTCGTGTGTGCTTAAAGGTGGTTAATGACATTAGCTCAGTCAGTGCCTTTCCTCTCTCCAGAAGAGCCATCATGTCTGCAACAGTGAGAAAAGGTTTTTAACGCATTGCCAGAGCTAAAAGCACAACTCCCTAAGCAGCAGCAGCAGCAGCCAGGGCCTGAAGCATTTCCCCTTGAAGCCATTAGCAGGGCTACTGTGCAGTTTCATTAGAGGCCTGTACAGATCATTAGCTATAAATGTAGAGTCCAAATCCCTTTGTGCCTGGGATATTTTGGTACTAGAACCATTGCAAAAAAAAAATCATACGTATTTCTGCAGTGCCAGTGCGAGGTTTTTCACGTGTGCTTAACTGCTGTGCCCTCCCCATAGCAGCATGCATTGGCCTGCAAATGAGAACAGGTGCATATGAGGAGAAAAAAGGTAATTTTATTCTCTGCACAGCAAGTTTGAAGGAGTATCTCCCTAGAAAAAGGAGAGGAGGAGAAAGCAAGACTTTCTCTCCAGTAGGTTTGAGTAGAAGGCTGAGCTGCTACTGGTTTTCCTGCGAAACAAGTAGCTTCTTGCTGAACTGAAAAGCCTTGTGCTGGCTGATGGGCTGATGTGGGCAAGTGCAAGACTTTGGGAAAGGCCTCCTCCCATTGGTAGAGGGCAAACTTCTACACTCTCTAAGTGCCAGGGCTGATGCCAGCCCCTGTGCCAGGACTGCTCCCCACTGATGAGATGCAGCATCCCACTGAGCATGGCACAGCTCCTGCTCAGGATATTGGCAGAGATGTGTTCCCCATCCATCAGCACTAACTCAGCCCTACAGCTGGGCACAGGGAATCAGCCTCTGACGCAGCAGAGATGTGCGGTCTGTACAAAGAGCGGCTCAGACTCTGAAACTGCTCCCCAACAGCCCCATCCCACCGCTGCTTTCCTGGGGACAGGCAGCAATCAGGCAAAGGCAGCCTGGTTGCTCTGCCGGTAGGTTTGAACTGTGTGGGGAGAAGGCAAATGTGGGAACAGATGTTTGCAGAATTACACGTCAAGCACTGCTATCTGCCCCTGGTGCAAATCACTGTCCTGCCTGGGCTCGGTGAGCCAGGCTCATGCCTGGCTTGGGCAGTCATTGGAACTTTCCAGCACAGCAAGGTTGAGTACTGAGCTCTACACATCTCTGACTTAGCAGGCAGTGTGTGATGAATTGGCCAGAAAATACCTATAACAAACAACATAACACCAGAAAAGGCAATGATCCTGCTCTGCAGGCTCCAGCTGCTGGTCTGAATCTGGCGCAAGGCTGATGCCTTGGCAAGTCAACTTAGGTACTGCTCTAGGTACCTGGGATTTCCAGACCGTGTTATGGCTAAACAGAGCATGTGATTATTCCAGTGAAAACTCCCAGAATATGAAAAGATTAAAGGGAAAAGAGTCTTTTTGCTAATACTAGTTGTTGACTGTGTATTTGCTGGTGTACTACAGTTTTGCTCCTCCGCATATGTAATGAGGCTGAGGGGGGACCACACAAATGTGGAAGTTTGGCAGGATCCCAAATGAAGCTTCTTGTTTTTTTCTACTCTTAACATGCCCTTCTCCCATCCTTAGGTCTTCCTCATCCACAACAGGAAAAAATACCATGTACAACTGGAAAAATTAACCAGTGATCAAATGGAGTGAGCCAGGTCATGAAATTACTTTTATCCCAGACTCCAGTACTGATTTAGATCCGGAATTTTTTGCAGTTCATTTTGGTGATGTGCCTTGCACGGGGTACATCCATTTTGCCTGGCCAGGGCAGATGCTGGGAGAACTGCTGGCTGAGGGGCTGCTTTGGTCTGCTGGATGTGAGGTCTGGTTGGATGGTACCAAGTCAGTGATGAAAAAAAATCTTTCTTTTTGGGGTTTACAGGCAATACTCAGTATCAAGTACAATCCTGGGACAGTTCCAAGTCACCTTCAGCACACACACTGTCACTCTGATAGGGAAGCAGGAAGGCGTCAGGATTTCCTCCTTTATGGTATGTTGGAGAAGAGCAGCTGACCTGTCCCACTGCTGTTAGTCATCCCCAAGGCACCACAACTGTCCTATTGCCCAATTCTTGGCCATCACACCAAACCCCTTGTTACTCAGTGGAGAAAATCCCCCCAGTTTCAGCCTGCAGAGAAGGCACAGGGCAGACAACCTACCCTCAAACCATCCAACGAGGTTGTGGGTAACAGCCCTTGGTATTCTTGGGTAAGGGTGGGCAGGGTCCCATGAATGATTGAAAAAACCTGTGTGCTGCTGCAAGTGGGGTGCAGTGGCAGCCAGCTATGCCTCACCTCCCACTCCTCCTGGAGCTGGGAAGAAAAAAACCTCTGCATTTCCAAGGTCAGCAGCAGCCCCAACTCCCGCAGAGCTCATATGCCGTGAAGGCGTCTCCCCCTCCTCACCCCAGCCGCTGGTAGCAGCAGGGGCTGTTTTCCCCAGCAGCTGGAAGGAGATGATGTGCAGGGACAGGAATGTGAGGGCAGGCAGCTGGGGCAGCTCATGGACAGCGTGGGGTCCCAGAGGCCAGGTCAGGTCAGTTCATCCATGGGGCTCATAGAGCCCCGCAGATGAACCGACCTGGCCTGGCCTCTGAGGTTCTGCTTCTCCCCACATCTCCACCACCCACCCCACACAGGGTGACACCTTCAGCTTGCTGGCTGGTGGCTTGTAGGGGTCTGCATCTTGGTTAATGCCCTGCAAGGTGCATGAGCTGGGGGGAGCAGAATTGTTCACTTCTACAAGCCAGCATGAAATCAAAGCTATGCGTTCAAAAAAATATGACATTCCCCTTGCCGGTGGGGGCTCTGCCTGGTGGGAGGGCTGAGCGCTA